ACACACACACACACACACACACACACACACACACACACACACACACACACACACAGCATGTGCTGCACTCATATCTCCACCTGCTGTCCCACACTCGAGACCCATTTCACACTCACCAAGATTGTCTGTGATCTCATAGATGTCCTGGAAATCTCTCATCTGACGTCCGATCATGTCAATGAAGCTCTCGATCAGACTGAAGAATTCCTTGATGTTTGCGCCCATCTGCAGCAGAGCAAAACAGCATTGTTATTGCTAACCAAAACTATTATAAAATCATTTTCATTAACTAAAATAAAGCTGAAATAAAATAAAATATTAATATTAAATGAAAAACTTAAACTTTAAAAAACTGACCGAAATAAACTAACTTTAAGTTGAAGTACTAAACTTACTAAAAATGAAAATAAGTATTAGTAGTTAGTTTTAGTAATTAGTAGTAGTAAACATTTAATTAAATATAATAATTATTTAATATATATGCATAGAATTATATAGATATATATTTAAATATCAATATAAGATATAAACGAAAGTTAAATAAAAATATTAAAAAAATGGCAGTATCACTAAAACAAAACTTACTACTAACTAACAAAATTACTGCAACAATCTTTAATTAAAATTAAAATAAAAACAGAAAATATAAAAATAAAATGTATAAATACTATGATAGTACATGAATAGCACTAAAATAACATGCACACTTAGAGAATCTCTCAGTTCTTTCTCCGAATGGTCTGGTGACTGATTCATTCGTGTGTGTTAGCGCTGTCTCTGACGTGTGTGTGTAGGCGTGTGAGGTGTTGGCGTTGTCTGCGTTCGCAGATTAGCATGTGGGTGCGCTCGATTTCTCTGCTTCTTATTTCTCCTTTCACCCTTTTTTGGTATGATGACTCACCAGTTGAGCTTCGTTCCATTTCTCTCGGTGTGTCTCCTGCAGTAAGTTACTGATGGTGTGAGCGTAATTCTGTGGGTCAAACAAATCAAGGTTATTAGATCAGTTCTTCTATCATATACACTTTTCCCATCATCGTTATGTGCTTGGGTTTTGCGTACCTCCACATCTGCATTGCTCAGGCTCATCTTTGAGCCTCTGAAGATCTCCGTGCCGTTCCTCAGGACCTCCATCACAGCCAGCAGGTCGCCGCTGTACTTCATATTGTCAGTCGACACCATCCTCACTTTAGACAGCACCTCAGACACGCCATCAACCAGCTGACCGCTCTGAGACCGAGTCATGTGATCACGCATCTGGAAGGAGAAGGATGCTTGAGAGCTCTGTCCTGAGGCCTTTAGGCCAACATGAAGTGCTAGTATGCATGTGGTTAACGGTGTTCCGTCAGGCTTACCAGGGTCTGGATGTCCTGGAATTCCTTGGAGATGCATTTGATGTGAGTGGGGTTCTCCCAGAAGGCCAGACCCACGGCGTCCAGTGTGCATCTGCGGAGGATCAGGCCTGCAGGAGTCAGGGAGAGCAGGGTTAATGCTATCCAGAGGAGGGGACTGTCTCTTTCACTAAAATCAGGCCGTGACCCACATTCGACACACAAAAACTAGAGCGCTGTATGACTGAGATCTCTGAACACTACCTGTGGCATCAGAAGGGCAAGACACGGCAGCCGTGTCGCCCGCGGGCGTTTTCTTCCACACCACACTGCCGTAGTTCTCCTCTCCGCAGATCTCGTGAGGTTCTGCGAGACACATTTTAAAGCACTTAACGATGCTGCCTCAAAAATGGCGCATAGATTGCTGCGATTAAAACATCTGGTTTGAGTTCTCACCTGGGCACCGCTTCTCGTTGCAGTTTCTCAGTTCTGATTTATCTCCATTGCATGGCTCTCCACCAAAGAAAGGTCCTTCACACACTCTCTGTCTGAGCTGATGGCCTCCACCGCAGGACTTACTGCAACTGCCCCATGAGCTCCACAACAGCCATCTCCCGTCCACTAGAGGGCGACAACACCCTTGAGTATCTTTCATAAAAACACTTGCAGAGCCATTTTATTCACGAGAAATACTTCATGCATTAGAAAACATTTAGGGAGGAATACTGTACCTGGGCAATCTCTGAGGAAGCAGTTGGTGGTTTCTTGCCATTCTCCTCTGCACTCCGAGCCTCCGTACGAGGGGCCGTTACACTCACGAGTTCTCTGCATCGTTCCATTTGAGCAAGAGGCAGAGCAAGGAGTCCATGCGGACCAGTCGTTCCAGTAGCCGTCAACTACGGAGAGGGGAAAGACAGAATAAATTAGTATTACTAAAGCTCCAAAGTCATCTTCCTTGTTGCATTTGAAAAGAGCTTGTGTTATTATGGTGAACAGTGCCATCTGGTGTTGAGATCTGGAATAGCGGTCAGTTGACTGACCTGGGCAGACAGCGATGTTGCAGAACTTGGTCTGTTTGACAGGTCCGCGGCAGGGTTCTCCGCCGTGCTGAGGCTGTTTGCAGGTACGGACGCGATCACGGTATCCACGACCGCAAGTGGACGAGCATAAACTCCAGGGAGCCCATTCGTCCCACGCTCCGTTCACTGCAAACACAGCATCGTTAATCAATCCCTCATTCCATGATCCAGACAAATGAAAGTAAGCATTGTATGTGTGATCTGAAGTACCTGGGCAGGCGGCGGTGTTGTTGCAGGGTCTATTCTCTCTCAAAGGGCCGGTGCACTGGGTGCTGTAAGTGGACGTCATGCAGGAGCGTGAGCGAGATTGCAAGCCTTCACCACAACTCACGGAACACACGCTCCATGAAGACCACGTGTCCTGCTGGACCTCTTCTGCAGCACAACAAAGAGTTTGATTTAGCAAAACACCTCCACTTCCAGACTGCTTTCTAATGTTCCAAAAGAGACACACACCTTTATGAGGGGCCTGGTTTGCCATGATGGTGCCATCAGAATCACGCCGCTGGCCGATGATGGAACGCAGACCTTGACTTCTCTGTCGGACTTGACCTGCACAAATCAACACAAACCCACATGTAAGATCCGACAGCACGCTCTTGCATTCACTGCAGTGCACATTTATGGACATGGAACTGACCGATGCAGGGCTGAGGGTTGCAGGCCCGTCCCTCCTCTACGACGCCCTCACAGACACCATCCTCAGGCTGGCACGCACGGCTGCGCACCTGGACTCCACCGCCGCACTCGTTACTGCACTCGGACCAGCGGCCCCACCCGTTCCAGCCTTCTGCAAACACATCACACAGATAAGCTTCACATCACTTCTGTTAAGTGCACATGGTGGGTGAGTAATGCTGAAGAGGTGGATGAAAGGACATTTGCTGCGAATGAGTCATGGTAATTCTGCTGTCAGTGCTGACATCTGCTGGTTAACTCTGGTATCTGCATGCAAACTTCAGGAGCTCAATAGAGGCATCAAATCTTGCCTGTCAACTTATTGACAATCAATGTGGCATTGTTTTGCCATAAATGTAGGTTTTATATCAAAGAGGCGGCCACTATAACAGTGGGGTGAAAAGTCTTTTAGACAAACAAACACTTCTGAACCTTTTCTAAGCAAAACTGAGCTTTGAAGGCCAAATGCCAGGACACCACATGATACGACCATTTGAAAGGGTGAATAGCCTCTAGTACCCGAGGCGCTCTTTGGATGTGGTGCTTTTGGAGCCCGGCGGGTTGCTATGGCAACCTCAAGCACAGGGCATTGATTGCTTTAGCGGAGGCTTGGGGAGAAGCTGCTCCCGCAGAACCACATCGACAGTTTTTTTTCTGTCAGGAGAGCATACAGTTTTGCCTGAGCTTTACCAACCAAACAAGTTGCTACTGGAATCTTGCATCTCACACACTTACTCATGATCTCGGCGTCGCGGTTGCTGTCTCTAACGGTGGGCGAGCACTTCTCGGTGTAGACTCCACCCCTGTAACAGCCAGCTGTCTTCCTCTTGGGCGGTTCCCAACACTGGCAGGGGGTCATCATGATGCCGCAGGGGTTTCCGTGGGTACTGGTTGCTAGGCAATCTTCCAGCCACTGACACAGCATCTCACAGGCTGGCATACTCGGATTCCTCTTCCCCACGACTAGAAACTCAGCGTTGAACTGGCTGCCTTCGTTGTTCCCTTCGTCTTCCTCCCCGGGCTCCATACCAAGACTTGGTATCACCTTCCGCACCTGCAGGAACTGTTTGCTGGACTCCAGGTAGGCCACCGCGGAGGAAGCGTCGCACAGTCGGACCACCTCGTCGAAGCTCTCCATGCCCAGGTATGTGCGAGAGGTCTCCAGGAATGAGTCGAACTGGAAGGTCCGGATCTGTCGTGGGGTGCAGGACTCGGTAGGCTTGGTGATCTTCATGTAGACGGTGTAGCGGCGAGGATCGGGGTTCTGCAGGGTCCAGGAGCACGGCGCTGACGACAGGGCGGTCTTAGAGGAGAACACACCGAAGAAGCGGCTTTGCTCCAGGGTGGCACAGGTGGCGGATGCTGGCCCAGAGGGAGTGGAGATGCCCGGGGCGAACATCACGCACATACAAGCGCACAGCGCCAATGAGACGAACCACCACTCCATGTTCTCGCTTCAGGAGGACGGGTGGACCCTTTGATAGGAGTTAACTGGGCTTCTTTGATATGGCAGGGGTTTGAACTTTTTACTACGGTAAATGTGGATGGAGGGTTTGATTCTTAACTAGATAGTAGGAGCCATATCTGTGGGAAAACAAGAAACAGAAGGCACTCAGAGTTAGCACTTGTCAATCATAGTAGAACAGTCATTGTAATTATCATACTGGAACAGGTCTGCCATCTGAATCATATCTGTAGTCGAGAGCTGTACCCTCCATTAGCATTAGTATGCATTCGAACAAGCCCTGTCAGAGTGCTGCCGCTAATGTGCACACTGCAATTACACTCAGACTATAATTACAGTGCCCTTCACAGGAATCTCTCTCCGCATTGCTCTCTCATTCTCTCCTGCCCACGCTTTCACACGTGGCAGAGCCGATTGCGTCAAACTGACGTCCTCGAAGACTTAGCTCTCACCCACGAAAGTTCAGCGCTGGAAAGATTCTCACAGCGAAAAAGCAGGATATTTCTGCAGGAACACATGCCCCCTCCCTGACAGAATGCAGCGATTGTGGAACTTTCGAAGTCTGACTGTTGCCATAGCTACAGGTGCTCGAGAAACGTGTGGAGCATCTTTGTGCATTATAAGCTGCACCCCTCTCTTTCCAAGCACAGTCCCTCGCTCTATTATAGAACTTGCCTCGTTTTCTGGCGCATCACTCTCTTTCGCTCAAAGACGCTCATTCATGAGCGAGACGAAAGAGAGAGAGCAGCTGTGAGAGGTCCTTCTCAGGGAACCAATGACCCCTCATCTTCATTATCACTTTCCTCTTTCTGAACTGATAATGTGAGCCTGAAAAACTAAAGCTCAACAGTTGTACAAAATGAGATAAATTGCTGCTCTGTTTTGTTAGCTGTCTTCAATTACATCACTAATGCAGCTCATGTATGATTTTCTGCACTCCATTGAGTTTGAGGATCCGGGAACTATCGACTCTACAGAAAATGAGAGTACTTCAGCTCTGCCACTCAACCTCTTTCTATACCCCAAATAGGGGGCTGAAATTACAAATTACATCTGTAGTTATGGAAACAGCTGATTTTCGAAAGAGCTGAAGTAGAGTCAGCAGGAAGTGTGTGAGAAAGAGACAGACAGACCGAGACGGAGAGAGAGACAGCTGCACAGAGTTTATGTGAATCCGTGCAAGTGAAGCCAGCACGCTCATTAACCCCTGATGTCTTCTGGCTGGTCTGATCCTGGGATGAATGTTAGATTGCATCTGATCTAAAGAAACACAGACACTTTGTTTTTAATCCTGGGAAAGTCTGAGACACACACGACTCTGCCAAGCACACGCAGAGCCATCTGTGAGCTCAGATCTGCTGCTGAGACATCTCAATGTGTGTCTAGTGCTGTCAGAACAATAGCACACACACACACACACACACACACACACACAGACAGACACACACACACACACACACCTGC